TGCATATATTTGTTCTTGTCATGGCTCTCACTTCTCTAGGGTATATACCTAGTAATGGGATGGCTGGGTCAAATGGTATTTCTAATTCCAACTTTACCACCACCAATTTTTATAACATTTTCATCATCCCCAAAAAATCCTGTACCCATTAACAGTCACTCTCATTAACTCCTGCCACTCTGTAGCCATAAGTAACTTCTAATCTGCTTTCTGTCTCTATGAAGTTGCCTATTCTGGGCATTTCATAAAAATGAAATCATCATATATGACCTTTTGTGATTGGCTTCATTCATTTAGCATAATGTTTTCAAGGTCATCCACATTATAGCATGCATCAGGACATTGTCCCTTTTTCCTGCTGAATATATTCCGTCAATTATTGTATTTTTAACTGAACTTCACATCCCAAGATTCATCTTTGTCTTTTTTTTAAGCTACATCTTTGTATTCTGGGGATAGCCTCTCCTCTCATCTTTGCCTCTCCTTCTGCCATGGTTGCATAAGATAGTCTATTTTTTAATTAGGTGGAAATAGGTAAGCTGAACTGATAAAAGCTACCCTCAAATTTCTTCCTTAGACCTTGGACTGTTCCATGTCTGTGTTTCTCCCAGGAAGCTGTGAAGCAGGCTTAGTGCTAGCTCTGGCAGAATTCCAAAGGGGATGCTGCCTCACTCTCTAGTGAGAGGGACTGTGCCTGAAATGGCAGGATAAGTCTTAAGAAGAAACTTTTGGTAAGGAGCTAAGAAGGGAATGAACCACTGACTCTCTTCTTCCTCAGGAGAAATCACAGATACAGAAGGATCTGTGGAGGATTGAAGATGTCATTGCAGGCCTGAGTGCAAACAAAGACAACTTCAGAATCCTGGTGGAATCAGTCAAAAATCCGGGTGAGTGGGCCATCTTCCTGGGTGTGACTGATTACTGTGCCTTGGCTGGAAGCGGGTGTCTGTTTTGGGGATCAGAATTTAGGTGAGTAGGATTGGCTTTGTGAGGTTGAGTCTTTGTGGCACTAAGTCACTCCACTTGTTCTCTGTGAAAGAAAGTCTTTGTTCCATCTTATGCTTTTTGGCCCTTCATGCCCTTTAGAGAGAAAAACAGTGCCTTTATTTCCTCACCCGGCTGTGCCTTCACTCTCAACTTCTGAGAGCAAGTCGTCCCTGCAGCCCAGCCCTCCAACCAGTCCTGTGCGGACTCCTCTGGAGGTTCGGCTCTTCCCTCAGCTGCAAACCTACGTGCCATACCGACCTCATCTACCCCAACTGAGGAAAGTGACGTCCCCTCTTCAGTCACCAACCAAGACGAAGCCCAAAGTTGTAAGTGTTGATGTCCAGAAGCTGAGCAGCTTCATTTCCTCTCTGGCAGATGTTTGTTCCTTTCAGTTCTAAGATCAACTTCTCTTGGGAAAGAAACTCCTAGGGAAATAGAAGCAGCCAGAGTCCTAAGGAAGTCCTGAGCCCTGAAGAGTTAATGAGTGGTATTTACCCTGCCATTTGCCTCAGATTCTCAGAGTTGGAAGAGGCGTATAGATTACCTAGCCCAACCCTCTCGTTTTGCAATTGGAAAGATTGAGGCTCAACAAGAGGAAGTAACAGTGCTAAGGGTAGAATTTGTGATCTATGTGATGCAGAGAGGTGTGTTGGTGGGACTTCTCCCATATAGGACTGAGTATGCAAACTTGAAGAGGACTTTCCCTGAAGTTACAGAAGCCTATGGGTGATAAGTTCATCCCAATTGAAGGCCATCCTTATCTTCAAATGTAGTTCAGTGCTGTGCCTGGTTATAAGGATGCATGTGATCATCGTAGTAACTTTACAGAACATAGATAGGAAGAGCAATATCCCCATCCTACAGATAAGAAAACTAAGGTCCACATTTGCTTAAGGTCTCCATGTTAGCTAGTGGAGCCAACCCACATCTCCTGGCTGTGCTCTTTATTCTGTACCATCTATCACCTAATTGGACATTCACATATCCTCAGGTCAGGGCTATGGACTATGTGTTGACTGGGTGAATGCCTTGACTTGCTTGGCATAGAGAGAGGCCAAGCCCTGGACAGAGACTGATAACACAGGAGACTTAAAGGAAGTAGACTATATAGTCAGTTGGTAAAGCGAGAGCTCTTGCCTTCAGGACCAGGACACCCTTGGTTGAAGAACACAGCATTTGGAAGGGGAGATGGTCCAAATGGCAAGGAAGCTGTAGCAGAATGGACCTTGGAATGGGGGCCTCCAGGTTTTTGCCAACAAAGACGTGGAGAAGCCTTGCTTAGGGCTACCCAGATGGTGTGCCTAGGACCTCTTATGAGGTCAGTGCACAGAACTGGGCAAATCCCATGAGTTCCTGTGCTGAGATCCTTATCACCTACCAGAATTGCCAGACACTTGTCAGGACCCTGGGTGTGGTGCATGACCCAGCCAGAGAATCACTGTGAATTTTTCCATCTTGAAATATCATTTCCAACCCCAGATCTAGGAGGCAGACTAAAGCCCCAGCCAAAGAATTAAAAAAAAAAACAAACCTCACTGCCATCAAGTGCATTCCAACTCATAGCAATCCCCATTGGGTTTCTGATGATATAAATCTTTATGGGAGTAGATTGCCCCATCTTCCTCTATGGAGCGACTGGTGGGTTTGAACTATTGACCTTCTAGGTAGCAGCCAAAGAACAGGTGGTAGAAAATAAAACTGTATGTATGTCAGAGTCAGGTGGATAATTACAAAGGCAGGATGCCTGCTGTCTGGGCAAGGAACAGATAGAAAAGGTGTTAGCCGGGGAGCTGGAACACCTGTTTCCAGTCCTTGTTCTCTCATTGTGTTCTCAGGCTAAGCGGCCTCAGTTGTTCCTTGTACAGAAAGAGCAACTTGGAATCCATGACCACAAAGGTTCCTCCTCATAGGTTGATCCTCTGTGGCTCTAGGGCAGGGCTTTGCCAACTTGGCTGAGCATCAGGTTCACCAAGGGGGGTCTTTTCTCCTTCTAGGAATGTATGTGTGCTCACCATTTTTTTATTTTTTGGTTGTTGTTGTTGCTTAGTTTTGGTGGATTTGTGTATAGTTGTGTGTGTGTGTGTGTGTGTGTGTGTGTGGTAAAGCATATATAACACAAAACTTGCTACTTTAACCATTTAAATGTACATTCAGTGGCATTAATCACATTCCCAGTGTTGTGTAACTATCACCATCATCTACTTCCAAAATGTTTCCATCACTCCAGATAGGAACTCTCTATCACCGAATGCTCATTCTCTTCTCCCTCAGCCCTAGGAAACCACTAAATCTACTTTCTATGTCAATGAATTCGGCCATCCTAGACATTTTACATCATTGGACTCATACACTATTTGTACCTTTGTGTCTGGTTTACTTCACCTAGCACAGTGAATGTTTTCAAGTCTCATTCATGTCACATGTTTGCTTGTTTTTTACATTTATATTTGCAAAACAGTAATACATATCCTGAAAATGACATAAAACATGAGTTTATAATTTAATAAGTAATTATAAAGTGACTATCCATGCTATACCACCACCCAGAACAAGAAGTAGAACTTTGCCAGCAGCCAGCAGCCCTCAGGCCTGTGGGTCCCTTCCCAGTGTAGGCCACTCACTTTCCACCAGATGTAGCCACCACCTTGACTTTTTGGGTGGTAATTGCCTTGTTTTTCATTATAATTTCACTACCCATGTTCGCATACCTAAACACTTTCATTTAATTTTACCTGTGTATAAAATTGCATCTATTCTTTTGCAACTTGCATCTTTTCTTCAATATTTATTTGTGAGGTCCGTCTACATTGTTGCATGTAGCTATAATTCTTTCATTTTAGTTTGGTTTGTTTTCCTGGATTTAATGTCACTGATACACACACACACACACACACACACAGGATACAAAAACAAAAGGCAAAAGGTATATTACAAGGACTGATGACAGGTGTATCTTAAGAACTGGGATGCTTGCTTAGCTAATGCTGAAATAAAAGAAGGAAAAAACTATAAACCAAAAAAAAAAAGGTATAAAAAATAATGCTTCTCTCCCACCTTCAATCTTCACACACCCTATTGTCTTCAATCAAAGGCAATAAAAATTTTATGTTTATCTTTATGGGGGGCTTTTTAGAAATTGGTGATTGTGTGATCTTATCAGTATTGAAAGCCATTGATCTTGTGGCTGTCTTGGACAGGCAGCTTAACTGTCACCATATTAATGAAATGCGTTGCTTCAAAAGAATATATATATAACTTGGCAAACCAAGCTTGGCTCACAATTTCTTGAACTCTTCAATATTCTGAGAAACAAAGCAAAATTAGACTAAGAAAGAAGGAGTTTAGAAGGAGGAAAATGCCATGGTCATTAGTCTCCAGGAGTGGGTGTTCATGGCAGTCAAGGGCCAGTATGTTGATATATAGAGGAACCATAGCCCTTAGAAAGTATTGTGTAGACAGGGGGTTTCAAGGAAAATAGTTCCATTCATCCCAGCCCAGGGAGTGGGCTGCTGTGCTAGGCAGTGAGTCACTCATCCCACAACCCATTCAGTCAGCTAGTCATGAAGAATTAAGTAGTTTGCAACTATGCATAAATCTTATTGAAAGGGCAGGAGGAACACAGACTCTGTCCTTGCTCAGATCCCCAACCTGCTGAAGATCCAGAGTTTGTGCAGGCACAAGGGGCCTGCTTGATCTAGTACTGTGGGGTGGGATAAATGTGACAGTGCTGCCGCAAACTTACAAGTAAGCACAGAATTACCAGCCTGCCTCCAAAGGTAAACAGTTTGGCACAGGGCCAAGAGCACTAGGCCCAGGAGACCTGAGTTCTAGAACTAGGGACACGGTATATATAGGTAGCACTGAAAAGCAGAAAATGTTTGAATCAAAGGCAACAGTGAGAATGGAGTAGAGATGTCCTTTCACGTTTCCACCACGAGAAATGAATGCTCCTTGGCTGAGTGGCCATGCTCTGTGGCTCTGAGGTAGCCTGTTGTGGTCTTTTGGGCCACACTATGGCAGTGCCACTCACAACAGTCCACCCTCTAACTTCTTCTTCTCAGCAGACACTGGTTCTTGTTGTTGCTCTTTGTCTGAACAGGAAGACGAGGCACCTCCCAGACCTCCTCTCCCAGAACTCTACAGCCCAGAGGACCAGCCCCCAGCTGTGCCTCCTCTGCCTAGGGAGGCTACTATCATCCGGCACACTTCTGTGAGGGGCCTCAAGAGACAGTCAGATGAAAGAAAGCGAGATCGGGAGTTGGGCCAGTGTGTGAACGGGGACTCGAGGGTAAGCAGGGAGGACCCCTGGGGTTGCCCCACTGTGTGTGGGGGTTGGAGAGGTGTTGGGGCTGTGTCATACTTGCCCTGGGCAGGCATGACAGCCTTGGACTCTGCCCACAGGTAGAACTCCGGTCATACGTTAGTGAGCCTGAGCTGGCAACCCTCAGTGGGGACAAGACTCAGCCCTCCCTTGGACTTGTGGGCCCTGAGAGCAGGTACCAGACACTGCCAGGTAGAGGTAAGGCAAGATCCTCCACAGAGTCTTTACAGGCACCCTCCACCCCCATATACCCACCGTAACAATACGGCATATTCTTTTGCTTGCCACTTTGGGCCTAGATGTGAACAGCAGCTGTCAGGAGGCCCTATGCCTGCTTCTCTTTCCTTGAGCCCACATCCTGAGTCTTTTCCTCTTTATTTCACATCTGTCCTGGGAATGATAATAATAGCAATTACTATAGAGCCTCTGGTAGCATAGTGGCTAAAGCACTTGACTGCTAACCAGAAGGCTGGCGGTTCAAACCCACCAGCCACTCCTCGGAAGGAAGGTTGGGCAATCCTACTTCCGTAGTGATACTGCCTCGGAAACCCAAGGAGGGGTCGCTATGAGTCGGGGCCGGCTCGACGGCACATAACAACAACAACAACATAGAGCCAGGCACTATGTGACCCTTAATGTTCATAGCAATCCTATAAGGGAAGTAGTATTATTATCCCATTTCAGAGACACAGAAACTAAAGCTCAGAGAAAATAAATAAATTGGTAAGTGATGGAGCCAGATTACAGCCCCAAGGTTCCGGCTCCAGAGTCCATACTTTCAGCCACTGTCCCCTGCAGGCTGGGGTGCTGGGTGGCTGCCACCAGCTTGGCTATCTCAGGCCTTCCTCTTCTGTGTCATTCCAAGACTCAATGAGATCTTTCTTTAAAGAAACACATTTTCTCTTCAATACGGCCTCATTCATGTTACCCTTCCCTTTTTGATGGGGATGGGGATGGGAATGGATTTAGACTCTTAGGCTCTGCTCATTTCCCTTTTTCTGCAGAGCCAAATCCTCCTCCTCAGAAATTTTTAAAGGGGAGGCCTTCTTAACCCTCTGCACCTGGGCCTCCTGGGACCCCTGAGCAGGTTGGCAACTCTCCCTCACTTGTTCCTCACTTGATCTTCTTGTCTGCTCTTAGAGGTGGAAGGCCAGGGCTGGCAGATCAGGAAGCAGGACACACAGATGTGGTTATAGCATCTACGGAATATGTGACTTCTAGTCCACCACACTATCTTAGTGGCTTGTGGCCTGAGCTGGCCCCTGGGAAGATATGGGCTCTAAGGTTTGCTGAGTTGGGGCCACAGCAGCACTTGGCGCTGTGCCCTGGGACCCTTTTCCCTTCATTCCTTACTGTCAAGGAGTGTTATCAATGAAAGTGTTAGTGGCATTTGGTGCAGGACTATTATTGTTGGTCTGGATTTGCTGGCCATTACAGGTCATTTATCATTCCTTTTTCTCATGTACTAAATGCTAGTGGTGTCCTCAGTCAGTTTGGGGCCCATTTCCAGATGGTCAGGTACCACCCCATTAAGAATCCCTGCTGGTGGGGAAGTGGAGGCTGTGGGCCAGGCCCAACAGGGTGACATAATACTTCTAAACCATAGGACCCAGGACATAATAAACATGTGATCAACAGTGTTCTTAGCTATGTGACATCAGACTGTTGTGGTCCTTTGGACCACACTGTGGCAGTGCCACTCACAACAGTCCACCCTCTGACAGACACCCCTTGTTTGTTAAGACAAGTTCCTTAACCTCTCTGAGCCTTAGATTGCATATCTTTACAATGATTAGGTAATGCCAACTTTGTAGAGCTATTGTGACAAAATCTATAAAAAATACTGAGCACGGTGCCTACCTGTCACATATTAAGTACTTGAATAATGCTTGATGCCTTCCTCTTTCCCTTCATTCATTTAGTCAGTCAACCAGGAGTTGTAGAATTTGCAGTCTAGTTAAGGAAACAGGTATGTTGACACTTTGGACATGCAATAATCAATGAATATACTGTGGGATATAGGGGATAACTAATTCTGCCTGAGACATCTGAAAGCCTTCACCAAGGTGGAACATTTGAGTTGGGTTGTGTGGTGTAGTAAATTACATGGTATGGCTGTTCTAGCCCTAGTTTTTGTAACTCTCACTTTGCCACGAGCAACTAAGTAGCTGATTGTTAAAGTCATCCACCTGTGGCAGCGTGAAGTAACCTGGGAAAGTTTACTCTCTCTCTCAGGTGTGTAGAACTCTGATGTTGGGATTGGTTGGTTTTGCCACTCTTCCAGGCTCAAAATAAGCCCTCCTAGAGACAGAAGGGATTTCTCACTGCCAGCTGGGAGAGATATGCTGCTAAGAGAGATGCGTGGCTGAGAGACAGTGGCAGTGGAACCAAGAGACACAAGACAGAGCAACAGGCTTACCTGGCCCACAGAGGCCAGAGGCCAAAGAGGCGTGTCTAAGGACACAGCAGAGGGGAGACTGTCCTGATTGAAGAATTGTATCCTGAGCATGTTCCTGAACTTGAATTGTAGCTTGTTGCTTCCCTAATAAATCCCATAATCTGTGAGTTCTATGTGGCCACTGTAGCCAATTATCAAACCCAACAGACAGGTGGTGGGTGCTGCAAGAGGGACTGTTGGTGTCAAGGTTGGTAAGAGGGCTGGAGGGTGGTGGCATGTCTGGCCTCATAGGAACAGGCCTTGGGCTGCTGATGGTGATTCTGTCTTCCTCTTGTGTAGTTAGAGGAAGTCAAAAAATGCCACCGCCTTGCCCCTTTAGCAGGTTGTGAAGGGTGCATATGAGTTCATCAGGGAGAAAGGATGAAGGACATTGCTACTCCTTTCTACCTGCCAAGCAGCCCAGGTCTTCTGGATATGAGGAAATTTTAGCATAGCCCACAGATCTGCTGGGACACTGTTCCCCCCCTCAGAGGCAGTTGACACTCCTGGGTTGGTCCCCTGTCCTGCACCCTAGGGGCTTTACTCTTCCAGTCCCTGGGGAGGAAGAGGAGACAGAAGAGTAGCTCATTGGCTGGACCCTCTTGGTCTCTCTCATGGAAATCGGTGGTTATTAGGAATGAGCAGAGCCTGTCTACCCTGCCGTGAACATACTTGCATTTTTCTCCTTGCTAAGGGCTCTCAGGATCCACGTCCAGGCTCCAGCAATCATCCAGCATTGCTCCTTATGTCACACTCCGGAGGGGTCTACATAATGAAAGTGTCAAGATGACCTTCCCTGTGAGTGGCCTTGAGAAGTTTTTGAGTTGTTCCTTGCTCCCTCATATGCAGAGGGAGGGGCTCTGAGGTGGATGGAGATGGTGAACCTATGAGCTCAGGGATCTGCCTGCCCCCTTAGGCTCACTGATACCTTCCACATTGCCCACCAGGGCCTGCTTGGAGCAACATCAGACTGTCCTCTGCATTTCCTAGGAATTCCTCACCTTTCTCTCTAGTCAGGGTCAAGGAAGGGGAACCCTGGGAGTCTGTACTGCGAGTTCTGGCCCCATCACTTGCTGTGTGTGAGATTGACTGAACAGGCATAGACTTCAGTGACTGGGTCTGCAGGATGGGTGCTTCCCAGAGGGTGGAGTGCAGCCCAGTGAGGGCTGTGGGCATTGTATTGTGAGTGTGCTAATAGGAAGTGGTTCTCCTTGGCCAGGAGGGCTCAACTAAAGTGTGTGTGTGTGTGTGTGTGTGAGATAGAGAGAGAGAGAGAGAGAGAGAGAGAGAGAGAGAGATTGGGGGTGGGAATGAGACCAGCAGGGTGGCTGCCCTCTGTGCTCCCAACCCAGCTGCTCTATTGGTCTCCTGTGCTCCCTTCCTTTGCAGAGACCCAAGAGTGCCTTGGAGCGCCTATACTCAGGGGACCACCAGCGGGGCAAGATGAGTGCAGAGGAGCAGCTTGAGCGCATGAAGAGGCACCAGAAGGCCCTGGTCCGGGAGCGCAAAAAGACGCTCAGCCAAGGAGAGAGGACGGGCCTCCCTTCGTCCCGCTACCTCAGCCAACCTCTCCCTGGAGATCTCGGCTCAGTATGTTAGGAGGGTGCAGGCAGGCGGGGCTGGCATAGGGGGCAGAGCTTCCCCTCAAGCTGAGCAGGGCTTCCCTGATTTCCCCAAACAAAGGCATGTCACACTCCCGGAGTGTGCTGCTGACCTAGACGGTTCAGAGAACACCCTGTGGGGCTGTTAGCCTGTGGCCTGGGCTGTGTATGTGATGTGTCAGAGAGGGATCCAGAACGAGCAGGAGCGAGGATGTCACAGCAGGAGTCGAGGAGCCCGAGAGCGTATCCAAAGTCAGTCTTCCGAGCCAAGTTTGAGAGGGGCCTTTGCAGGCATTCCAAAACTCAACTGAATCAAGGACCTGGGAATCCAGGGTTGGAGGAGTAGAGGGGGAAGATGGTGCTAGGATTTAATGAAGAAGAATACAAGCAGATCAACCAGTCTTCCAAACCTCCAAGCAAGTGGGGGGTTGCTGGACATGCTGCAATCCTGCTTCTGTCCCACAACCCTGAGGGCTGGTGGTCTCCCATGGTTTGTGGTGCTAAGAGGTCTCATGGGGAATCTGTGCTGCCCCCAGGTGGCACTGCCCAGCACTGTGCCCTGCCTACGGTCGCCTTAGGTCCCTTTGGGAAACATTCACTTGACTTCTCCCTGTTGTTTGAGATCTTTTGTTTCCCGAGCTCTAGCCTGACTGTTCTTTCCCTGTTTCGTTGCACAAGCTCTCTTGCTTTTAGTGTTACTATTAATTGCCCTCTAATCTTGCCTGATTATGTTTACAGAAGCTTCTAATTTGCATTGAACATTCTCTTACTGGCCTGTGCTCTGTGTTACCAGGCTTGTAATAGCAGCTCTTGTCTTGATATTCCAGTGAGCAGCCCCAGATGTAACTCACCTTCCCGCTGCCCCCATCCATGCGGGCCTACTGACTCATAATTCACTCACCCCAAACACTGCCCCTCCAAACTAAGCTCATCCCTGCTGAAGACCACAGTCACTGGCAGAGGTTAGATGTTAAGAATTTTTTCAGATCCATGCTTTATACCTGGACAGTAGACGTGGACTTCGGAAATTGCACCTTTGAATAAATCCTACCAAGTCTGAGGTGGTTTGGTTCCAGTTCCTCTAATCCTATCACACCATTTCTTACAGAAAACCTTTTGTGTTTGTAGTGCTTATTAACTTGAATGGACAGCAAATATGCTATGTTCTGTACTCACAGGAGCTCTCTGCAGCTGTTAGCTCAGACACCAAAGGGGTAAGGCCCAAGATACTTAAATCCTTAAAGCTGCAAACCTGGTAACTTTTAAACTTTATAAGAAAATGTCATATGGGGTAACATTGACCTTTACAACTTGATGTCTCAAAAGTAGAAAGTCTATCTAAAAATTATCACTTCAACACCTTGTAATTTTTCTCTTAAAAAAAAAAAAGACTGGTGTAAGTCTACATTAACGCCAATAAACGTGTTTTTTGATGAGAATGGATTGGCGTGGTTCTTCCCCAGGATACATTACAGAGTCTAGTGATCCTTTGCCATTTGTGTAAACATTCAGGCTGGGCTAAAATGAGGCCTTGTTTCTATCTGGGGCACATGTGAACATGTAAGAAAATGTTTGTTTTCTTTGTGGATCATTAAATTAACTTTTCATCTCTGGAACTTCAATTGCCTAATCCTTTCAAACTGTGATTGGAAATCATCACCTACATTGGTCTGGAGTCAGTATTGAGAGCTTGTGCATGAATGGGTGAAATGTGCTGATATGGCTATGGGCTTGGGGTTTGGGGACTTTGAAGGGATCTCAAAGATAACTGTGACTGTTTGGGCTCCACAAGGTGGATGAGGTGGGAGAGAGGCAGTGAGCTGGGATGGATAAACACCCCCCGGGCATGCACTTTGCTCTGCTCAAAAAAAGAGGCTTTGAGGCTGTTCCCTGTTTTCACCAACCTGTTCCAGTCAAAGGCCTCTGAGGACGCAGGCCACAAGTGGATTGGAAGGCCTCTGGCAAGCAAGCCCATCATGCTTGAACTGTAAAGTGACCGAGTTAGACTGTTTCCCTTATGAAGAGATGCTTATTACAGTTAGTACTGCCAAATAGCCTTGGGAAAGTTGTGTTTGGTTTATCGCTGCAATTTTAAATTATTCTTTTTTTAGAAGAAAATATCTACCCCATGTAGCTACTACCTTATGCAACACCATATCTGCCTCGCTGGCCTCATGATGTCCTGCCTCACCGTCCCCAGCCCTGCTGTGGGTGTGCACAGTCACCCTAAGTGTATCCTATATAATGGGAGGCTCTTGGACATTCCCCTTGCTTAACAGGGTCTCGGAGGATTCTCCATTATTTCTGAGCCCGGAACATGTGGCTCCTGAACCAGAGAGCTTTCTTCAAGCTGTGGGGTAGCAGAAGAGGTAGTTCCCTTCTCTGGAGTGCTGCCCTAGATTCTGTGTTGGGTTTGCCTCTCAGTCCCAAGAGCCTTCTACATCCTTTGGGATTGTTTTGAACCCAAAAAGCCCTGGATCTTAGACCTGTACCTGGTCTAGATCAGAGAGAGAGAGAGCAGCAGTATGGAAACAGGCCACATGAAGGGGATGGAGACTTCATTCTCTGTTAAAAATGGAGTTGCAGCTCATGGGAGGGACTGTCATCACAAAACTACTGCTCTGCTTTAGAGGCAAGGGGGTTGAGGTCCACAGTCACACACATCTTCCCTGTGGGTCACAGGCCCTGCAAGGACCATCCTAAAGGGACCTGGCATGGCTCACTCAGCAGTCAGGAAGTGACTGCTCTTAACCTTCTTGTTCTGTTGCCAGTGGAAACGTGAGCAGGACTTTGACCTACAGTTGCTGGAACGGGCCATGAGAGGGGAAAGAAAGGATGAGGAGAATGGCTGGTTGAAAGTGCAGGCCATACCTGTCACCGAGTTGGACTTGGAGCCACAAGACTATGATTTGGACATCAACAGAGAGGTGAGGGCAGGAATTTCCTTCATGCCACTCTAGGTGACATGGCCTTCAGGTTCCCAGCCTGACCAATACCCAGTGGCACTGGGGAGTGTTGTCCTGAATAGGGACAAGGCTAAGCTTCAGTGTGTTCCAGGAGAATGGATGGATAGGAGATAGGAGCTTGAAGCAATAAGAGGAATCCTTTTTTTTTTTTAAAAAAAAAAATGCAGGTTCAAATCTTTTTCTCTCTTACATCATTACATGGAGTTACATTATTTAACTCCTCTGTACCTCTCTTCTCTCAACAGTAAAGTGGGTTGTGGTAAGGATCAAGTGACTTACTGTGTTCCTTGGAAGATTAGCAATGATTGGAAAGCTGTGAGCACAGAGCTAGGTACATGATGTAGTCTTTGGGAAATGTTCCCTGGAAAACCAGAGGTTGGCCTTGCAACTGGCCACTCAGTACAACTTGGACAATCTGACTTGGGGCAATGAAGGGCAGGTTTGAAAACTACCACTATTAAGTCTAGCCATGACTGGGGGTAGAAGGTGTGTGGCTTGGTCTGTATTCTTTGGGTGCCCTCTGGTGGTTAACATGCATCATGACAGCAGGCCCAAGAATGCTTCTTGTTGTTATATGCCGTCGAGTCGGCCCCGACTCATAGCGACCCCTCCTTGGGTTTCCGAGGCAGTATCACTATGGAAGTAGGATTGCCCAACCTTCCTTCCGAGGAGTGGCTGGTGGGTTTGAACCGCCAGCCTTCTGGTTAGCAGTCAAGTGCCTTAGGCACTAGTACACCTGAATCTTAACCAATCAGGAATGTTGCTACCCAAGGGAAGAGAAAAGAGACTTAGAGGGTGACAGACTCAAGGTCTTCAAGACACAGGGTTGTCTTCTGTGGTCTAAATTATGTCATTTGCAAGCTCTGGAGGCAGAGTCTATAGCTGCTTGGTTCACCTTTGTATCCTTAGCACCTAGCACAGGGCCTGGCACACAGTAGGTGCTCCATCAATATTTGCTGAATGAAGACTGTGATGAGTGAATTGCACAGTTGCCCACAGACATCCTGAGAACATTTGTACAATGGCTTGGCCTACTCTGAAGCCTCATGAGAGGAAATGTACCACATGAAGGGCAGATTTTGGGGGCACCTCAGTAGAACTTCCCCAAAGGTTTGTCTGATGCGGGAATGAATGCTAAGTAGGAGCTGTGGCCTCTCTCAGTGCCTCCCTCCTGCTTTCAATGGTCAGAGGCAGGCCCACCCACAGGCAGCTTTTGTACTGTTATCTACCTGTCTTGTATGTTAGGGACTCATGTGTCTTTGAGAACAAAGGACCAGAGTGTGGGCAGATAGATGCCTGTGGAGATGCTGAATGCTGGTTCAGGTGGGGTCTAGGGGTTAATGAGGCCAGTCCCCTGCCTTTAGACCTTATCCCTTTGGCACCCAAGATAGCAAAAGGTCTGTACTTTCTCAGAGTCACAAAAGAAGCTTCCACACCCTGCCTTGGCTGTGGAACTGGGTTCTATAATGTCTTAATTGGTCTGCCAGCCAGGGAAAAAGTCCTTTTATCTCTAACCTAAATCCCTTCTGCTAGAAAGTAATCAGCTTCCTTCCTCTGGATCTGCTCTCATTGGAAATAACAGAGAAGAGTTTATTTCTTACCATCTTTCAGTACAGTGAAAGGGCTGCATGGGTTTAAGTCCAAGTCCACATCTGCCCTGGACTGGATTTAGCTTGTTTGTAGAAGCTGCAACCAACCCCATTTAAATGTGCTTCTATAGTTTGGTTTTCTATAGTTCTAGGATTTCTCCTTGAACTCTCCAGGGTGTGCAGAAATTGCCTTCACGATTCTTAGCCCCGGTGAGATTCTGCCAAACTGAGGTTGCCCCTGAGTTGTCTGAGATACTGGTGGGGAGGATTTGGGCCATTTTCCTATGGAAAGTAGTAGACACAACATGGCTGCCTTCTGTCTGGATCAGAAGAGCTTTTGTCAGGACAGAGAGCATTATTGTTTCCTTTCTTTCACCCCTCCATCAATCCAACCAGTCATTCCAGGAGTATCTGTGGAGGGGCCATGTCCCTGCACTAGACAG